AGTAGTTACATTAATAATGTAAAAAGAAACAGGTGAAATTAATTTTTATTTATGTGTTTACTTATTTTTGAGATGGGGGTCTCACTCTGTCACCCAGGTTAGAGTGCAGCGGTACAATCTTGGGTCACTGCAACCTCTGCTCCCAAGCTCAAGCGATCCTCCCATCTCACCCTCCCGAGTAGCTGGGACCACAGGCATGAGCCACCATGCCTGACTAAATTTTCTATTTTTGGTAGAGATGGGGTTTTACCATGTTGCCCAGGCTGGTCTCAAATTCCTGAGCTTGGGCGATCCACCTGCCTCAGCCTCCCAAAGTGCTGGGATTACAGGTATGAGCCATTGCTCTTCGTCTTAAAATTAATTTTTAAAAATATTTCTTATGTAACATATCTAAAATATTATCATTTCAACATGTAATCAGTATAAAACATTATTAGTGAAATATTTTACTTTTTTGTATTAAGTCTTCAAAGTCACTTTCTAGCACCTCAGTTTGGCCCAGCCAAATTTAACTCCTCAATTGAATAGTGGCTAATGGCTACTGAATAGAACAGCTGTAGATTCTTGCTAGAAGCTATACCTCCAGGTCAAATGTTCCCAAAGCATGGTCCTAAAACCCTCTACTAATGACCTCAACTTCCATGGAATCAACCCCATGTGTGTCAAGCTGTCTTTTTTAAAGAGAATAGAGGGGTGCTTGGGAAATAGGCAGATCTGAGTTTGAATCCTCTGACACTTAGCTATGTGATCTTCAGCAAGATAATTAACCTCTCTGCTGCTCATTTCACCTGTTTTGTAATTGAGGATGATGCCTACTTTGAGTTATTGAGATTGAAATAATGTATTAAACCATCTACTACATGGAAGGTACCTGATAACAGAGACTACCAAATTTGACTGGCTTTAAAAAATCTCAAATAATATTATCGCTAGTAAGGAAGGTGTTATTATCCTACCTACCATATTCAGATATAATGATGACTAAATTTAGCAGGAGGCAAGACCAGTTTCTTTTTTTTTTTGTTTTGAGACAGGGTCTTGCTCTGCAGTCCAGACTAGAGTACACTGGCATGATCATGGCTCATTGCAGCCTTGAACTCCCAGGCTCAAGTGAGTCTTATGCCTCAGTTTCCCTAAGTAGCTGGCACCACAGGCATGTACCATTATGCCTGGTTAAATTTGTGTGTGCGTGTGTGTGTGTGTGTTTATGTTTTTTCTTCTTCTTCTTAGAAACGGGATCTCACCATGCTGCCCAAGCTGGTCTCAAACTGGGCTCAAACAATTCTCCCACGTCAGCCTCCTTAAATGCTGGGATTATAGACCTGAGCCACCACACCTGGCCAAAGAAAGATTCTTAAAATAGACGGTAGGAAATCTCATTTAAAATGGCCCTTTGGGTTTTCTTTTTCTTTTTTTCTTTTTTTTTTTTTTTTTTTTTTTGTAGCAGAGCAGCTCTTTCCTTGCTATCTATTGAAAGTCAACCCTCAACACAAGAGTTTATTTTTTAAAAATATAATAAAATGTTCCTAATTTTGGTGTGTGTGTGTGTGTGGAGAGACTACTCTGAGAAACTCACAGTAAATACGTTTGTATTTGAAAATGAGTACCTAATGGCAGGGAATGAATGACACACATCTTTGTTTGCCTCTCATGACTTTTGCTTAGCAAATATTCGATCCACTAAATAAACAGATATAGATTATTGATTATATGCCAGGTATCCTTATAGACTAATGGGTATGGGCAAAAAATGGGAGGTATTCTGTTAATTGAATGAATGAGGACTGAATGAATGAACTGATGGACACTGTACCTTTTCTGATTTTTCTGAACTAAGTCATCAGTTCTTTTTTGCTTCTCTTGTTTCACCTAAGATTTTCACCTGGGATTTCCTTCAAAAGGCTCAACTGAAATATAGTCTACTATGGCTGAATCTGGGTAAAGGGTACATGTGTGCTTAACTTTTGTGTGAGTTTTAAAAGTTTCAAACTAAGAAACTTTTTAAAAATCACCAATAATAATAGGAAGTAATTATCATGACATGTATCTGGGGTTTTATAACATCTGTGTTTATAACAGAGTTAACCAAAAACTATACAGATGCCCAAAGAGGTGAATAAATAAGAAAATTCACATAATCAAGAGGATAAAATACTATACAGCAACGAATTCACATCTGCAGACTTTGTCAATTCATGGAAATATATGATGAAATAATGTGAAATGGAAAAGCAAGCAGAATATAATCCACAATTACAACAAACATGTAAATATAAACATATCACATACATTTTAGTTTTTACAAAAACTAAAAATGTATTTGGTTACATAGGAATGTTACTTTCCCTTCTGGGTAAGATTGCTCATGTTAATACATGTGATATAAATATATAACATGTATAATAAATTGTTTTATTTTGAAATGAAGTTTCACTCTTGTCGGCCAGGCTGGAGTACAGTGGCATGATCTTGGTTCACTGCAACCTCTGCTTTCCGGGTTCATGCTATTCTCCTGCCTCAGCTTCCCTAGTAGCAGGGACCACAGGTGCACGCCATCATGCCCAGCTAATGTTTTTGTATTTTTAGTAGAGACAAGGTTTCACCATGTTGGCCAGGCTGGTCTTGAATTACTGACCTCAGGTGATCCTCTCACCTTGGCCTACCAAAGTGCTATGATTACAGGTGTGAACCACTGCACCTGGGTCATAAATTCTGTTTTCTAAGCAAACTTATCTTACACCAGAGGAGAGAATGGCTAGGGAAAATAGTCTATCTAGTGAAAAAGAGCACCAACAAAGGAGCACCATCTCTCAATTGTCACACTAATGTGCAGTGACACTTTGGTAACTGCCTCCCAGTTGCTGGCGTGCAGTTTAGCCTACTGCTTGGAGCCAAATGGCAGATTTGGGATTTTTCTTAATCTGAGTTATTATTCAGAGCAATACTCAACACAAATATTTGACCACTAGTGTCAGATTTAATTTTTACATGACAACTCCTCAAGCCTTTAACCACAAGGGTGCATATAAGGTAAAATTTTAAAAAATATTAAGCCTGCTGACTTTTACTGTGATTGTGGTTTGATATCATGCAGGACAGATCACATTTGCTGATTCACATTAGGAAACAGAGCCCCCAACTGTCACAAGCACATTGTGTTTGAAAACAGGAAACCTCACCAAATCATTTAGTACTTAAAATTAACAACATCCTCATCATCTTGTGGTTCAAATGATGACTGAACAAGAACTCAAGCTAGTTGTGTTCTATATTTTTTTAATTAATATAATTAGTGTTCCTAGATCTTTTTAAATTGCTCTACTCTAGCCCTAGGGGAGAAATGATTTCAGAAGGCTGAATACATACGCTGATTCAAGATATGATTTCTCACACACCCAACCTCTATAAGTTTGGATTATAGAGTAATATAGAGTAGTTCTGGCACCAAGTCTTTGGCAATGCTATTTAAAAACAAAGTACTATTACACATAGCCCGTGATGCTGACTTCGCATTGCACATAAATACTTTTATATAATACTTTTTCTTTAATATATGTTTATGTCAGGCTTAGGGCCTGCAAGCCTGAAATAAACAAATATAGAAGCCATAGCCTTGATATTTTTGAAAATGATTAAGAATACGGTAAGTATAAGACTCTCAACTGACTCAAAGGCTCAGAGCTAAAATCCAGGTAGAGTTTGAACATACCTTACAAAGAATTGAGATCCAAATTGCATAAATTTTATGAAACTTTTGATTTAAGGACTAAGTTTTCTGGTAACCTCTTTGGGAACATCTGGATAATAAAAGATGATTAAGAAATAATAATATCTGATCAAATTATTTGCCTTGTCCGAATGGTCTGGGTGCCAGTCCTGGCAATAAAATTCACCATCTGGGACCTTGAACAAATTATTTAATTTCTTGTCTATAAAAATGAAAATAATTTTATGTAATTTCTAACTTAAAACTAATAAATTATTAATGATAAATATGAAAATGCTAGGAAGAGATTCAATCACTACTAATATATTATTATCTAGAATTGTTTTCTTCAAATGGATACATTTTAGGCCGGGTGTGGTGGCTCACGTCTGTAATCTCAGCACTTTGGGAGGACGAGGCAGATGGATCGCCTGAGGTCAGGAGTTTGAGACCAGACTGACCAACATGGTGAAACCCCGTCTCTACTAAAAATACGAAAATTAGCCGGGCATGGTGGCTCACGCCTATAATCCCAGCTACTTGACAGTCTGGGCCAGGAGAGTCCCTTGAACCCAGGAGGCAGAGGTTGCAGTAAGCCAAGATCACACCATTGCACTCCAGCTTGGGCAAGAGAGTGAGACTCTGTCTCAAACAAACAAGAAACCAAATGGATACATTTTTAAAACAGCCTTTAATTATCGAACCACTTTTTTGCATGACTTTAAGCCATAGGGCTAATTATACGTGACACAAATCTAACCAACAGAACTGTACTACTTAGATTAAAAGAAACTTGTAGAAATGATAATTTTGCACAACTTTAAACTAAAAGGCTAATTGCATAGAAATCTTACCAACAAAACCGCATTATTTCAGTTTAAAAGAGACTTGAAGAAATGACATTAACAGTCCAAGTCATATTTAAAGAAGCCCAGACAAAGGGGAACTGAAATGGATAGACCGACTTACTTTGGAGTTTTCTTGAAAAGAAACTAAAATACACATCCCAAATAACCAATGTCTGCAAGATCCAAATGACAGAACTCCAATAATGAAAAGGACTCAGTGACACTGAATTACAATAGACAAGCCCAGTAAAATTCAGTTCTTCTTACTATTCCTCCCAACCAAACAAAGCAAAAGCAGAAAACAGCCAACACGCAGGGTATCGGTTTACCTGTTCTGCACCCCTCGGGGTAGGTACGTGGAAGAGGAAATGGGAAGCTGGGGCATATTTAATGAATACTGAAGGGAGGACTTAGGGTTTGGGAAAGTGTGCACAGACGAACCCTACCTTTCACAGATTTCCCAATACTGTGTAAGTGAGTGATAGAACTGTAGTTTTGGGCAACAGTCTTCAAAAACGCTTCCATCTCTTCCTGGTGGTGGTAGTTGAAATCCAGCGCAGTTACCAAAGGCAGCAACAGCTGTAGCCAGAGGCACGGGAAGTCCATGTTCTGGAGATGAATAAAAAGAAGAACCTGAGAACACTTGAAGGCTGGCGGGGGCATCACCAGCTCCGGCACTCTGGTCTCAGGGTCTCCCGACACTGACGCTCCCTGCTTCCTTAAGGAGGCAAATGCTGGAAGCAACACCTTCGGGAGTGAGCCGTGCAAACGGAGCCCAGGAGCACGGGCAACCTCGGTGCCCTGAACCCAGCCGCCCGCGCCGCCCTCTCCTCCCTCTCCTCCCTCTCCTCCCTCTCCTCCTCCCGGCGCCTCCGCCGCCCGGCAGCTGCCGCAGCTGCGCGGCGTCCCACGAGCGCTCAGCCTCACCAGGGCCCAGGCGCGCACCTCCGCCCGCCCGCGGCCGTCCGGCGGGACCCGGTGTTATAGCCGGGTCATGGGGGCGGGCGCGCCCGGGCCCCGCCTCCAGACGTCCCTCTGGCCCACTCCGGAGCCGCGTGGGTGCCTCCCGGGCGGGGCCTCAGCAGCCTTCACACCTAGGAGAGCTGGCGCCCGCCGGGTGCGCCCTTTCGTGGAGCGGCGGGTGCGGGCGGGCGGCGGGACGTGGAGTCTCCCCTCGCGGACAGTCTCTGCTGGCACCCCAGGTTAGAAGTGTGTCCTCCCCTCGGCCACGGCTGTGCCCTGGGCAGGCCACCGGGCGCTCCACGGAGGGACATTCTCTGTCGCAGGCTGCGGCCACTTTGGAGACGTTTAGGGCTCGGCGGGTTTCCTGAGGTTGGCGGTGCCGCGGCCCACCTGGAGCCGGGACGCGTCCCGAGTCCTGGGTGTCCTGAGCCCCGCGCGGGCTCCGGCGGGATGGGCGGCCTCGGCCCTGGCAGCGGGAGCCACGCTCACAGCGGTGCCAGCTGCCTGGCGCGGCTCAGCGATCTCGGGGCTCCAAGAGAGAACATGCGCGTGTGTGGAAGTTTTAAATGCCACGAAGTGCAGAGTGCAGGACATTGTCCAACAAATTTACATGGTGGGTGGGATTTGGGTAAATGAGAGTTGAATTTAAAACTGGAAATCACATGGAAGAAGGCAGAGCCACTGTTGTAAATCCGATGCTTCCTGTACCGGCACTCCTTAGGCCAGTTCCAGGTCTCTTTTCCTAAAATGCTTCTTTCTGGAAGGGTGGCATGGTCTCTGCACGAGAGAGAACGAAGGCTTCGCTTAAACCTGAGAGGTGGTTTGTGGCATGGGCCAGCTGTCTCTCTAGCGCTCTCGCTTGCTGGCTCTCTCTCCCTTTCTCTCTTGCTCTCTGGCTCTGATTGTAGCAACCCCATTGGAGCCGGTTCAAAGGTCTGGTGAATATAAAAAGTTTGAAAACTACTGATTTGAGATAACATTCCTCTTTTACAGATGAAAAATACAGATACAAGCCCCTGACTCATTAAATAGAATTTTTCTCACGGAGGCCCAAGAAACAGTATTTTTAAAGAGGACCTTGAGTGACACTAATGTGCCTTCAAGAGCTGAAAAACCTAAAGATTTCCTACCCCTTCTTTCTTACAGATACTTTAATTAGAATTGAGCCCTCCAAACTCCCTAAGACCTCCTGTGATTCTGCAGCAGCAGAGAAGAGCGGTTTGAGAGCTGAGGCGCTCATGGGATGGGTGCCAATTCTTGCTCTGATACTCATTGGCTGTATCGACTCACTGTGCCTTATTTTCTGGTCTGTAAAATGGAAGTCTTAATTGTACCTATCTAAATAAGGTTAGCAGGAACATTGTAAGATTTTTTTTCTCTAATCTTGTCTTCTCACTTTATTTCATTGAGTTGATTTTCAATCTCTGATATCTTTTCTTTCACTTGATCAATTCAGCTATTGATACTTGTGTATGCTTTACGAAGTCCTTGTGCTGTGTTTTTCAGCTCCATCAGGTCATTTATGTTCTTCTCTAATCTGGTTATTGTAGTTAGCAATTTGTCTAACCCGTTTTCAAGGTTCTTAGCTTCCTTGCATCGGGTTCGAACGTACTCCTTTAGCTCGGAGGAGTTTGTTACTACTCACCTTCTGAAGCCTGCTTCTGCCAATTCATCAAACTCATTTTCAGTCCTGTTCCCTTGCTGACAAGGAATTGTGATCCTTTGGAGAAGAGGCATTCCGGTTTTTGGAGTTTTTAGCCTTTCTGTGCTGGTTTCTTCCCATCTTTGTGGATTTATCTACCTGTGGTCTTTGATGTTGGTGATGTTTGGATGGGATCTAGGAGTGGACAACGATACTATTCCTTTCTGTTTGTTAGTTTTCCTTCTACCAGGCCCCTCTGCTGCAGGTCTGCTGGAGTTTGCTGGAGGTTCACTCCAGACCCTGTTTGCCTGGGTATCACCAGTGGGGGCTGCAGGACAGCAAAGATTGCTGCCTGTTCCTTCCTCTGGAAGCTTCATCCTGGAGGGACACCCACCAGACGCCAGCCAGTGCTCTCCAAAATTAGGTGTCTGTCTGCCCCTACTGGGAGGTGTCTCCCAGTCAGGATACATGGGGGTTAAGGACCCACTTGAGAAGGCAGTCTGTCCCTTATCAGAGTTCGAACACTGTGCTGGGAGATCTACTGCTGTCTGCAGAGTTGTCATGCAGGGATGTTTAAGTCTGCTGAAACTGCACCCACAGCCACCCTTTCCCTGAAGTGCTCTGTCCCAAGGAGATGGGGGTTTTATCTATAAGTCCCTGACTGGGGCTGCTGCCTGTTTTTTCAGGGATGCCCTACCCAGAGAGGAGGAATCCAGAGAGGCAGTCTGGCAGCAGTGGCCTTGCTGAGCTGGTCTGGTGGGCTCTGCCCAGTTTGAACTTCCCGGTGGCTTTGTTTACACTGTGACGGTAAAACTGCCTACTCAAGCCTCAGCAATGGTGGCCGCCCCTGCCCCCACCAAGCTTGAGCATCCCAGGTCGACCTCAGACTGCTATGCTGGCAGCCAGAATTTCAAGCCAGTGAATCATAGCTTGCTGGGCTCCGTGGGGATGGGACCCGCCGAGTCACCTGGCCACAGACCCTCCCTGACTTCAGCCCCCTTTCCAGGGAAGTGAACAGTTCTGTCTTGCTGGCATTCCATGTCCCACTGGGGTACAAAAAAAAAAAAAAAAAAAACTGCTACTAGCTTGCTGTCTGCCCAAATGGCTGCCCAGATTTGTGCTTGAAACCCAGGGCCCTGGTAGAGTAGAAACTGGAGGGAATCTCCTGGTCTGCCGGTTGTGAAGACCGTGGGAAGAGTGCAGTATCTGGGCTGGAGTGGCCTGTTCCTCCCAGAACAGTCTCTCATGGCTTTCCTTGACTAGGGGAGGGGCACGCCCCGACCCCTTGAGCTACTTGGGTGAGGTGAGGCCCCACCCTGCTTCGGTTTATTCTTCATGGGCTGCACCCACTGTTCAGTCAGTCCCAATTAGATGAACCCGATACCTCAGTTGGAAATGCAGAAGTCGCCTACTGTCTATGTCCATCTTGCTGAGAGCTGCAGACTGGAGCTGTTCCTATTCAGCCATCTTGCCAGTGGGGGGAATATGTATATTTTTTAATGAGAAGCTGTTTGTTTGTTTATTTATTTAGTGACACAGTCTCACTCTGTTACCCTGGCTTGAGTGCAGGGGTGCAATCTCAGCCCACTGCAGCTTCTACCTCCCAGGTTCAAGCAATTCTTGTGTTTCAGCTTTCCAGAGTAGCTGGGATTACAGGTGAGCATCACCAAACCTGGCTAACTTTTGTATTTTTAGTGGAGACCAGGTTTTGCAATGTTGGCCAGGCTGGTCTCGAACTCTGGCCTGGAGTGATCATTCTGCCTCAGCCTCCCAAAGTCCTCGGATTACATGCGTGACCACCTCGCCTGGCTCAAGTGTTGGAAAATCTTAATATGACATTGTTGAGTCTTTGAGTAGGTTTTTTTTTTAAATTGTGCAGTAGTCACTATCCTAAATGTTATTTCCACTGGATGGCTTAAAGAAGTTCTCCTTTCATTGTTGTTCATTGATTAAGATGTGTGAGAGGAGGGGGACTGGAGCTTGAGGCAATTACATTTAGGCAAAGTTACTCTAGGAATGGGAAAGGGAAGTAAGTGAAGACTTGCTGATGTACCTGAGAAATCACATGTTTTTAATAGAAGTACGTGGAAGCTATCTGATATCCTGCAGGGGTGCTGTGGCTGGAGCCTGGAAGAAATGGTGGCTTCATCAATACAGGAATGGAGATTGCCAGGACTGTTGTTCCAGAAGAACACAGAGACAAGCTGTAGTTGATATTGCTGCCTTTGGAGTTCACACTAGGTAGGAAAGGAAGGAACTTCAGGAAGGAGTCAGAGAATGGAAGGTACAGAGGACTGAGCTCTGAAGGTTTAGGAGCGGTAACTCTGAGTGCGGCTACTGGCAGCACTGGCATCACCTGGAGCTTGTTGAAAATGCAAAATCTCTCATCCCACGCGAAACCTACTGAATCAGAACACACATTTTAATAGGATTTTCAGATGTATATATATATTCAAGTTTAAGGTGCACTGGTCTAGAGAGAAAAAATATTTAGTGTTAGAGTATGAAAGATATCAGTGAAATAAAAGATTAGCCTAATAGAGTAAAATACTGAAGTTCAATATTTTAGAAGTGATCTTTTTTTCCCCATTCCTTCCTTCCTTCCTTATTTCTTTATTTTCTTTCTTTTTTGAAATGCAGCCTCGCTCTGTCATCCAGGCTGGAGTGCAGTGGGCATGATTTTAGCTCACTGCAGCCTCCGCCTCTCAGGTTCAAGCAGTTCTCCTACCTCAGCCTTTGAGGACGTGAGATTACAGGCCTGCCACTATGCTTGGCTAATTATTTTACTTTTAGTAGAGACAGGGTTTCACCATGTTGGCCAGGTTGGTCTCAAACTCCTGACCTCAAGTTATCTGCCCACCTCGGTCTCCCAAAGTGCTACAGGTGTGAGCCACCGGGCCTGGCTCTAGAGGTGATCTTTCTAAGTTTGACACCATTAAACGTAATACCATAATAAAAAGGCTCATAATTTAAAAACATACAAATATATGACTTCTGTACAGAAAACCTTATAAAGGTTATAAGAAAAAACGGTTTACATCAGGTTATAAGAAAAATTACAAATTGGAAGAAGGAATTAATAGCGCTTACAAAATCAAGAATGAGCAAAGGACATTAATAAGCTGTTCATAAAAGCGGTAACACAGATAGCTAATAAACATAGTAAAGATTACCAACCTGGTAAGCAATCAAAGAATTACAAGTTAAAAGGGTAAAG